ATTATATTTTTTATTATTATAAATTAGATAACTATTACAGAAACTATTATTATTAAAATAGATGAATCAAAGGATAAAAAGTTTTATGGGTGATTTAATTAATAATTATTTAATGAAAAGTTGCAATATTATTAATTAAGAAGATTAAGAATAAATAATTTAATGTGCACCAATTGATTTGACAAACAATATATAAGTCTTATTATATGATCATTCTAAAAGTGTTCCTTATCTATGGTCTTAGTATGCAAACCAAGATTGAATTTATATCTAATAGTTTAAAATATAGAAATGTCTTTAATGATACTTCTCAGTTTCATTCAATTATAAAAATTGCAATCGATATGATGTTGTAATACAAAAACTAATATATGCCTAAAATATTTGATTCTGATGATGCTAAAAATGAACAAAAGAAAAAATATGTCAATATAATGATTAAAAAAATAATTGGTGACAGTTTCATTGTTACTTTTAATGAATTTAAAATGAATCATTTCATTTATATTAGTAACATGATCATCTAAAAGTAAGATTATAGTTTTTATATTAGATATTCAAGCACAGTAATACCCAATTACAATCTTAATATTCCCCTCATAAATTTTAAGATTAGCAGGAACCCATAAACTTGGATAGCTACCGAATTTTTACATAAAATTTGCAGATATGGATTTTTAAAAGTCTATTTTACTAAAGCTAATTAATTATTAAACACTCTATTCTATTCTAAAAAAATATTCATCATTTTATTAAAAAATATTAGAATATATGAATCTACTTAATGCTTTTTTTAAAATTAATCTCACATAAATCTTATTTAAACTTAAAATAAAAGTTACAATAAGTTCAATAGGTAATAGTTTTAAGAATTGTTTTTAGGAACCTATTTTTTTTTAAACTGCAGAAATAAATAATGCTCATGACTTCAAACAAGAATATGTTCTTTTCATATATCAATTAAGTAAATAATGTCATAACATTTCTATGAGAAGACATACGATATTAGAGTTAGATTCTACAAAGTTTAGATTTAAAGAATAGAATCAAATAATGAGGCAGCTACTTAAAAGTAAGTCTTTAAGAACAATAAATACTTTATTAGATCTAAAAATATCAATAAAGATTTTTTTTCTAATAATGATTTATTGCTTTCTGCCTAAATCAAAATTAAAATTATTCAGCAACCATACAAGTTAGAGGTTTTGATGATATAAGTACAAGAAACTTAGTAAATGTTTATTTTTTTAATAAAATAACAGTAATGTCATTTTTTCTGCTTTTAAATGAGGCTGATAATGGTTTTTTTTGCTAGAATAATTTAATATAATTCTACTGATTCAAGAAATACTAAAATTGTTATTATCCTATTGAAGTAAGAGTTTTTCATAGCAGTAAATTCATCCAATACTCATCAAATCTATAGCATATTTGCAATTATAAGAAATTAAGTTATTTTAACTTTCTATGAGACTTTGAATTCTTATCTTAATCAAATGATTCTATATATGAATTGTAAAAACATAATCCAATAATACAGATAAGTTGATTGCAATGGAACAACGATAAGTAAATAATTTATGTTATTTTATGTTATTAAGCAGTTATTTTGCCGATGATTTCTTCGTTAGTTATAATTTAGAGATTCATATCATTGAAATTCCCTATAACTTTTTGCTTCAAATATTTCATAATATTTGAAGAGATATTTCATTATTTATCCACAATACTAAAACCAAAAATAATTAATATTATAATGCTCTTTATCATCTGTCACTTATCTAAAAATAAAATGTTCGTTCATTTTTAACAGTAAGGAGATATTTTATAACTAGTATTCTAATTCATGATTATCTAAGAGCAACCACTAAAGCAACTATTAATAAAATCTAGAATTATCCTTTTGTATATTTTTCTCACTAAAACCATTTATACTTATTCGCCGAAATCTCACCACTGAATAATTTTTTATGTAATTTTTCACAATTTAGTGATTTATTAATTCTAAATTCTTAAAGATTTAGCTATATAAAGTTTAAAAGTTTGTAAAATTAATGACTTTACCTTCTTTAACGATCAAATCCTAATTTTCGCAATGTCATTATATTAACTTTAATAAATAAGATATTTTTGATTAATAATATATAACTTATTATAAAATAATAGAAATTCAATATTATTTTTTTTAAAAAGGAATGAAATAGAAAGAAGATTTATATGTTGTGTTAGCTTCATTAAAAGATTTAGACTAATAAATATACAAGGCGATAATTGATATGTTTAGAAAAGAAACCGTTTCAGACTGCTTAAAATATCTTTCAGATAATGAAAATCACTCACATTGTGAATCGTACATTTTAAAAGCAATGAATTTAGTGGTTTAAGAGTAAGAAGATTAAGATAATGATGAATATTAAGAGATAAGTTAAAGATCATGAACTTTAATAAAAAGAATTATTGTGGAGACTTCTACGAAGAATTTCGAAAAGATCTAATTTAAAAAATATCAAAGTTGATTAAATAGTCTAATTTTAAAAATTTTTAGTTCAACTCACAACTGTCGATGAAATATTTATTTAATGTGGTTAGTAGGTCTGAAAGTTGATTTGAAGTATCATTGCTTTGTCAAGAATAGTACTTTAATTGGTGCTAATTTTGTAAGAAGCATTTACTGGCATAATATGTTGAAATCATCATATAATAATATATATATATATGCATTTCATTTAAGCAAATCAATAACTTAATTGAATTCATCTTCAGAATAATTCCAAAGATCTTTATATTTGATATCTGCCTTTTTTTCTAAGAATGAAGTATACATTCCTCTCATTTTTATATCTTAGATTGATGGTAATTCAGTTAAATCAAGTAATTCATCTAAATAATGTTTTTCTTAATTATTATTATCATATGAAAGGGATTCTGATTTATAATCCTAATTACTTTTTTCTTCATTATTATCAGATTATTATTATTGTTCTTCTTAATCATTATCTTCAATTTAAATATCTTCTTCAATAACTTCCTCAACTTCATCTTCAAAATCTTATTTATATTTTTCACTTAAAATTTCATTAGTTGATTAATTTAAATCAGACTATTCAATTGGTTTATTTTACTTTAATAACTTGATTTATTATTGCAATTAAAATATCTTATCATCTTTTTGTTAAATCAATTCAAGAGAATTCATATAAAGATTATTTAGACAAAAAATGGGTGTATGAAATTTCATATCATATTTTTTGAATTTCTTCTTACAACATTCACAAAAAATGTCTTTAAATTCACATTCTTTGAGATGTTTATCTATATCTATAAATTAATATTTTTCTTTACACCATTCACATAATACAGGTCGACATTCACATTATAATAACTAAATTAATTACTAATATATACATGTAATTCTATATCCATTCTAAGCTTATCTTCTTAGCAATATTTACATTAAACTACACCAAATATACATTCTAACTGATGATCTTCAAAATCTTTAAGACACATCGTCTTATAACAACCATCATTCTCACAACATTTTTCTTAATATAAACAATATTAGTTCTCATGTTTTTCACGAAAATCATAAGATATAATTTCTTCACATCCTTCTTTCTAATTATTTAAAAATATTAATACACTATATCTGCATGTTAACATCAATTTACCTAATAATTTAAGTATTACTTTTGGGACTTTTCCATCCATAATACCCTAATTTTAACAATATTCATTGTTTTTGTTTAAACTTTTCCTACAACATGGACATTAATGATTTAGACTTTTTTTGAACCTAAAATTATTTGATCAAGATTAAAATACCATCTTTCAATGCAATTAGAACAAAATGTTTAATCACATTAATTACAAATCTTAGGATCAACTATTATATGACAACATATTGGACAAATAACTTCATCCAAAAATACTTTGACTTCTGATAAATTTACTATTCTGCTTTGATCTATAAACTAAACCTCTTTATCATCTGATTCAGAATTCAATAAAGATAAACGATTTGAAAATTAATCTTCATCTTCATCTTAACTTAAATCTTCATCTTGAAATAAAACTTCATTATAATTTTATCCTCCATCTGAAATGTTCTCATCAGATTCATATGAATAATACATTTGAGCTTTGTTTAAATATAAATTATTTTAATTATGTATCCCCAAAAATGAGTTAATAAAAATTATATATATATAAATGTATAATTCTATTAACTTACTAAATTATTTTTTATGTTAGATAACTTAAATCAAGATGTCTCTATTCTTTAATCATCCATTTAAATGATTAATTCTCAAGTTTAAAATAGAATAAGACAAATGAAGATCCTGAAGAATAAACTTATTATTAGAAGTTTTGTAATTTGTTTTCAAATGAGTAATTATAACATACAATTTAATAAGACTTTAAAATAGTAACTTAAAAAATTAAATTATTAACTTTTCTTCAAGAAGAATGTAATAAATTTGGCTTTATGAGAAAGATTTAAGAGTATGAAGTTGATTGAAAAATCAAGAATTGATTGAGATGCAAAAATAAATTTTTTCAAGAGATCTTTAAACAAGAAAAAAATTAATAAAAACTGTAAGAATTAGAAAATTTTCAATAATAAATTAGATTGCAAGTAAATTCATTAGAGAGAGAGAAGCTTTAACAATAATTCAAAGAATGTTATTGAGAGAAAAAATTTAAGATAAAATTAGGGAGGAAGTTAATGAGTTCATATGGCATTAAAAATTAAGCATATAAGATGCAGAAAATAAAGATGTTATGTTGATATCTAATTTTGCAGGTTCAGAGAAGAGTAGAGCCACAAAAAAATAGAAGAATTAATTTGGAAATTATATGGAGCATAATCTGAATGGTTTCCAATTTATGTGTCTCTTCCAACTTTGGCAAATCAAAAATATCATCTGTTGGATTAGATTGTATATAATAGAATTTTATCATGACAAATATAATCAAACAGTTGAAAGTAAAGTAGCTTTTTGGGTTGTAAAAATGAGTAAGATAATTGCTTAAAGTGCTAATTTAGACTCTAAAGTGTCTTCCATAAATTTTGCCCTGACAGTGTTCAATTTGTAGCAGGATTAAAAAGTGGTCATTTAATTTTATACTTAATAAAAAAATAGTAAATTTTAGTTATTGAGATTTAATATTATAAATCAATAGGACGATAATCATTAATATAAGTTCATCAATGTATTATATCTAATTAATCAAAAATTTTTAAGTCTAAAAAATCAATCCTAGATTTACTCAACTAAAAAGGAGCTATTCAAAAGAATTGAATTGAATTAATTGTTAAAGCTTTATCATCATAATGATCTTCATTCTCTTATATAATACCATCACCACAATTTTAATAAAATAAATCAGTACAAATAGATCATTCTTAATTATTTGTTTCACACTATCCTCTACATTCTAATAATATTACTTAATAAATTTATACTTTTAAAAATAAAATCCATCCATACGAATACATTTATCAATATTTAATCTTCTATTTTTATTAATATAAAATGAATTTTATTAATCTTTTGGAAAAGTACATTTTGAACATAAATCATTTCATGTAATACAAACTCTTTTTGACAAAGGCATTATTCTTATTCTAAAATTATATTTTATCGAATATAATTATCAATACATTTTCTTGCATATTAATAACATTTTAAACAAGTAGGTAAATATAAATAATAACTGAAATCTTCCCTATAATATCCATCCAAATGATTACTTTAATTAAAATTAAGCAAAAACTTTTAGATTTATCACAAGCTAAACAAATTTTATGATGATATTATACTTTACATTTATTTATATTAATCAATTCTATTTATTATTATATTACTAAATTCCATAACTTTCTTTTTGAATTTATCTAAGTTTTACAATTATGAAAATAATTAGTTTATTCACAGTATTCTATTCTTTCTTTTGCTTAACTACAAAAAAAGTATTGAATTTTAATTCATAACATGTTTTATATGCTTAACTTGTATTTATATCAGTATATAATGTATA